GGCGCTCCCGCCGAGGGTTCGGATCCCACATACAGACTGGTTCCCACTCACTGGCTGAGCGAGGGGCGGGCGTGACACCAAGGGTTGCGATCCCGTTGCCGGTCCCAGTCTGGTACGGGCGCGACACTGAGGGTTGCGATCCATAGCCGGTCACGAAAAAAAAGACAAAAAGGAAAAAATAAATAAATAAATAAAAGATATTGTTCAATGTCTCTTATGTATTCTTGCCTTAAATGCATAACCCGAATCTAACCATGAGGAAACAGCAAATGAACCCAAAATGAGGAACTCATTCTTTCTTTTTTGCTTTCGTTCGTTCTTTATTTCTTTCCTTCTTTCTTTCTTTCTTTTTGAGGTACTGTACTCTTCAAAAAATGTTAATGTAAAAGCTGAAGAAAGTCTGTAAAACTATGTCAGATTAAAGAAAACAAAATTGATATGACAACTAAATGCAATACCTGATTCCAGATTCAATCCTGTGCCAGAGTGAAAAATTCTGGAATGGACATTGTTAATATCAATTGATGAAATTGACAATTTATGGTGGATTAGAAGAAAGTACTGTATTGATGTTAAATTGACTGAGGTTGATAACTTTACTGTGGTTATGTAAGAGAATATCCCTATTCACAGGAAATAAACACTGATGTATTTGGGGGTAAAGGGCCATGATGTATGCAATTTACTCTCAAATCATTGCATGTGTGTGTGTGTATATATATATGTGCATGTGTGTGTGTGTATATATATATGTACATGTGTGTGAGAGAAAGAGAAAGAGAGAGAGGCAATGGCAAAGCAAACGAGGACAAATGACAATCTGGGCAAAGGGTATATAGGTGTTCAATGCACTATTTCTATACTTGCAGTTCTTCTGTAAGTTTGAAATTATCTCCAAATAAAAACTTAACACATGCATTATGTGCTGAAGGGGTGGTCTGTGGTCAGAGATCTGTGCTCCAACACTGTGCCAGCACAGATCAGAAGCTCCAGAGAACTATACTGCAATGAGTGCCTTGCTGAGGGGGTCTATTTAGGTATTGGAAACCACCAAGCTCATATTATCTGCATAAACAGCAAAAGAACTAAGTGTCCCACGGCAGGTGTAAATTTGAAATAAGGAGTACTGAGGGACTTAACTCTAAAATGGCCCCTTTTTTCTGTTCACGCATATATTTGTCTTATAAAAATTAATTGTTAAAGAGAAGAGAAAGAAAATCACAATCAAATGAAGAAGAGAAATTCCAACTGTTGCTAAAGTAGAGAATTCATAAAGACAGTGGTCACGATGGTCATGAAATGTCCCTTCGGTATAGGTTCTTTTAACTGTAATATGTATAGTAAGCAAGGCTGATAGAAAGTCTTCATTTTTCTACTAGCCCAATATCATCTTACCACGTTCCTGGACTGGCAAAGGTAGGTCAAATTACTCTTTCAGGGCCTGCAATAAAAGGGGTGAAGATTATGGGGGAATTTGGAAGAGGCTAATATTTCTATTCTTTTAAATCTGCAACAGATGTTATGATGCTGTGTACTTCAAGTTTGTTACTACTTTTCATTGCTCTGGGAAACAGCCTAGAATAACATCTTCCTGTGCAATCTGGTGGAACCATTCTGTATATCCCGCAGCTCACTCTTCGGGTTTTGCACGACCCCGATCAACAATGCAGCCACCTTCCTGAAGGTGGCGCTGTGCTCCAGCGCTCTCCGCAAGGAAGCGGGCGTGTGACACGCGGAGGGGCGTTTGCTCTAGTGCAGAATCAGCGCGGGGCGCCCAGTTTAAAAGCACAGAGAGCACAGTCTATTCGGGGAGCTACAAGTTTGCAAATGGTACAGATAAGGAGCGAATTATGAACGGCTTTTAAGGCCATACAAAGGTGTTGAAATTAAGTGTCACACTCTTTTGTTCTTATACCCCAAACTAATAATAAACATGCTGCTCACGTAGCCATCCATCATCCCATCACCTTTTATTCCCCATCCTCTCACCCTCTTTCTTCATTTTTAAACTTTTCTTCCTTCCCTCTCTTTCACTCCTGCATTTGCTTTATAACTGATGTTGGTGTTTTGCATCGCATAGAAATTAAATGATTATAAACTCCTTTGTGTATTGGTGTCTGACTGACATAGAAATGTCACCGTAGCTGCCTGTGATTTATAGTTCAGGAAGATTTTGTACTCGCCACAAAAAAACCTGAAAGTCTGTGTAACGTGTCTGGATGTTCTGCAGGATTTATTGGGAAAATGCATGAGAAGTGGCTGTTGGAAAATATTTTCTTTATCAATAATTGTTTTTTGGAGTTCACCTTACCCAAGGAGGATGTGTAAGAAATGATTATTGGGATAGATTGTTTTTTCTATAAATTAGTGTGGCCCTTTTCCACAACAGTCTTTTTTTTTTTTTTAATTTTTCAAGAATTATAGACAACAGCTTTCCTCTATAAAAACTTTTTTAAAAAAAACAAACCAATTCCATCATAAGCTTTTGGCAATCAACACATCATGTATTATATCCCAAAAAGGAGAAAGACTATAATGTGGCCTGGTTATGATTAATCATAGATTTGGTGAAAAAAAGCCAGCTGGACTTTGCAATACATGAGACCATTCTTAGTCTCTGTACGTCTTGGCACAGCTCAAGTACACCAGGTGCAATGCAGGTTGACATAACGATTCAATGACAGAGGAGAATTCCCCAAAAGCTCTCTCCTAAAGGCAGCCGGTGTATTAAGGTGAACCCTGTCCATGTCTGGATGACTGGGGTGAACTCTGAGACACAATAGATGGAACAAGAATAGAGGAAAGCAATAAAATGATTTTTTTAAATTTGGAAACCTACTTTTAGAGGGAATACTGACCAAATGGGGCTGATATAATAAGAGAAAACAAAAAGTGATTTCAGTATAATCTTTAATTTTTGAAAGGCTAAGGGATGAATGACAGTGAGCAGATATTTCTTCTTTTAAGGCAAAGGCAGTAAGAAACAGACAAAAGCTGTAGCTAGAGTCATCAGATTACATTAGGACAAACTACACAACGGGTGTCACAAGAAACATTGCCAAGGACGTTCTATGGATGTCTTCTCTTATTTTTAAGAAAGAGTAAACTCTCTTTTGTCAATGAACTACACTGGTTCTTGACTTAGGGATTTGCTGCCAAACACACAGTGCTCCCTCCCGCCCGCTGACCTTTAGGGCACAGTGCAAGGTCCATCTGTTTACACAGACTTTTACTCCATGGGGGTTAATTTGAGAAGAAATTTCTCAGACATTAATATGAAGGAGATGTGAACGTGACTATGAATGTTTAATTAGTACTTTTTTGTTGTTGTCTAACATTATACTTTATAAATATTCCAAATGCTTCACAAAAATACACAAATATATTCATTTAAAACATCAAAAAAATGTTATTTACAAATCTAATTGAATAAATTACGTTAAATAAAAGAATGAAAATTTTAAATATAAAAAAAAAGAACCAGAAAGTAAACCACCTAGTCCTCAAGTTTCTTGTGTCCCTTTTAATCCCAGAATCTCTAAACTGAAAGGGAGCCTTGGAGATCACCCACTTTATAAATGAGGACAGCTGTTTAAATGATTGCCCAAGATCATGCAGGTCATTCACCTGCACCCCAGTTGCATGGTTGAAACAGCACCCCAGTTCTGTCAACCTCCAGTCCACGGTTATTTTTCCCACTACACAAAACTACCTGCCTAGTCTATTTACATCAAATATACAGCAAGTTAAACCCCACCCCATTTCCAGACCTCAAACCTCACGCTGGTCTCGAGTAGCATTCCCGTTCACTTCATGACTTCCCCATGTGGTTGGGGCCTCAGAAAGGACAGATGCTAGGATCCCCATCTGAGTGTTAACTCGGAGAAATTAAGCCTGCCGCAAGCCCCCAGCCCCATGTGACTTGACTTCACGGGGCATCACTGCATCTCGCCTTTGACAGAATGTCTCCCTGCTTGCCTTTGTAGGTTTCACAGCGGCAGCCTCCCTCGTGTCCTTGGCCTGGGCCTTGGCCTCTTACCAGAAGGCCCTGCGGGACTCTCGTGATGACAAGAAGCCCATCAGCTACATGGCCGTCATCATCCAGTTCTGCTGGCACTTCTTCACCATCGCGGCCAGGGTCATCACCTTTGCCCTCTTCGCTTCGGTTTTCCAGCTGTACTTCGGGATCTTCATTGTCCTTCACTGGTGCATCATGACCTTCTGGATCGTCCACTGTGAGACAGAATTCTGTATCACCAAATGGGAAGAGATTGTGTTCGACATGGTGGTGGGGATCATCTATATTTTCAGTTGGTTCAATGTCAAGGAAGGCAGGACACGCTGCAGGCTATTCATTTACTATTTTGTGATCCTTTTGGAAAACACAGCCTTGAGTGCCCTCTGGTACCTCTACAAGGCTCCCCAGATCGCAGATGCATTTGCCATCCCAGCGCTTTGTGTGGTGTTCAGCAGCTTCTTAACTGGTGTTGTTTTTATGCTGATGTATTATGCCTTCTTTCACCCCAACGGACCCAGATTCGGGCAGTCACCAAGTTGTGCTTGTGAGGACCCAGCCACTGCCTTCACTCTGCCTCCAGAAGTGGCCACAAGCACCCTACGGTCCATCTCCAACAACCGCAGTGTTGTCAGCGACCGGGATCAGAAATTTGCAGAGCGGGATGGGTGTGTACCTGTCTTTCAGGTGAGGCCCACTGCCCCATCCACCCCATCATCTCGCCCACCACGGATTGAAGAATCAGTCATTAAAATTGACCTGTTCAGGAATAGGTACCCAGCGTGGGAGAGACACGTTTTGGACCGAAGCCTACGAAAGGCTATTTTAGCCTTTGAATGTTCCCCATCTCCTCCAAAGCTGCAGTACAAAGATGACGCCCTTATACAGGAGCGGTTGGAGTATGAAACCACTTTATAAAACAAAACGACTTGCAGGAGTCACAACATCCAGATGGGGGTGACAGCTGGGCTGTGGCAATAATGACACTTCATCCTAGAGTAGGGCAACAAGCTGTAATGTTCTTAGTAGGACTTTCATCCTGATTATTGTTTGATCCTCTGTCAGCTGACTGCCTGCTGCTAGTCACTTTTCAAGCCGGCAGTGCCTGAGGGTCTCTTAATTCATCTGAAGGAATGACGCCAGCTTAGTATGATTCTTTGTTGCTACCAAACTCCTGCATGGTCTTGGAGTGCACAAACCAAGAGGGTACTATTATGATGGAAAATTATGCCTCTATTCAATTGAGGGTCTCTTAATTCATCTGAAGGAATGACGCCAGCTTAGTATGATTCTTTGTTGCTACCGAACTCCTGCATGGTCTTGGAGTGCACAAACCAAGAGGGTACTATTATGATGGAAAATTATGCCTCTATTCAATAGTGTTTTGATGGAGTTAACTGATCTTTGCATAAAAATATATTCAGTTATACACATACATACACACACCTACATACACTAACACACTAACACATACAAATAACACCGGTCTTCTGTCAAAATAGCTAAGGTGATTTTTCCTGGTGCAAAGCTCTGATTCCTACAAGAATATAAAAACAGAGATGGACAGAATACATCCCTCAAGACTCCTGGAAAAAAAAAATGTGGTACTGCTTAGAAAATAATTCATAAACCATTTTCTCCTTTGGAAACCAATACCGTGTGTGAAAAATGTATCCAATGGAGAGCAAACTCGAGTGTGTTTACACATGTATTAGCATTGATGGAATGGTTTGCTTTCTACATATTTGTTTTTTATTTTAAATTTTCAGTTGAGAACATCTTTTATGACAGAAATCCTATGCAGCATATGTATGGCTTTCGACAAGACCAAGGAGCTCAATAACTTCGTGATGTAAATTAAATGATAATCATGACTCAGTATTCAATTGCAAAAATTCAATAAGTACACAAAGAGGAAGTGGGGGGAAAGGCAAAATGAGAGGCTGATTTGCAGACATGTGCAGCTCCCATTGGCATGTAAAGACGGAGCAGCAGGAGAGGACGGGGCTGTAGCTGGGTCCGTTTCAGGGCGCAGAATGATTGCAGAATGGTTGGCTCTGTGTGAACGTAGGCAGGCAGGGTTCCAGAAGATGCCACGCCACTCCTTTCTAGTGCCAAACACTGTCCAACCACAGGACTGACATGGAAGCCCCAAACAGCCGAGAACGAGTGGCGTGAGCTCCCCGAAAGCAGACAAGAGAATGAACAATGATGTTCTCCTCCTTGTACAGACTTTTGCCCCCTAATCCAAGGTCAAAGTGATATGTCTTTTAGAGGCTTTGGGACACTTTTTAGTAAGTATGAGCAGACAAATGCAGTGAATATGCTATGAGAAAACCCTTCTGGACTGATTTGAGGGCTTACCACTATATCCAGCTAAGATTTGTATTTGAATCATCTGTAAAGTCGCTCTCTTACAACAATCTTCTGGGTTTTAAATACCTCCGTACAGCAAGTAAACATTCCCCTGCTTTCTTTTCTCAGTGTCCTCAGTCATGGTGCTTTTTGTTGCATTAAAAGTGCCGGTCAAACTTTGATAGTATTTTTTTATAGTTGGTGCAGAGTGGAATAACTCATGGATTATTTCAATATTTTTGTAATAAAAGTATAGGGTATACATATAGGCATCATCACTTTTTTTATAAACCTGGTATCATTTAAAATATTTTAAGTATCATAATTACTTGGGATATCAGAAACTGGTCCTCAAATTCCATCAGCCTGCCTTGGCAGATTGAAAACACTTGTCTCTTGCAAGATCACCCTACTTTGCAAGTTGGTGCCCCCAGGAACCTGGCCAGGGGTGCTATCAGAATATCAGGTGAAGAGAGAATCAGCTTAACTAGAAAGGGCTTGACAAGACTGGCCAATGTTTCCCAGGAAAACAAAGATGTAAGTGATTACTTTCATCCATCCATTATAGCAAACCTGACCACAGTGGAAGATCTTAAACTTCCTTCCCTGGTTTTATATTAACCCAAGTAATATATTAAATACTAGTCAAGCCATTAAAAAAAGGAAAAAGTCAGTTCAACTTAATTATTCAGTTATTTGGACTGCCCAATTCACTTAAAATAGTCAAACAGCTACCACATATAATGAGTGTGTCATCCAGAGACTGCTGTCCCCACAATAGCATCTACAGGAAATAACAGAGGGCTCAACCCAGGACTTCTTTTGGTACAAAGCCCCAAAGCAGTTTTTTTTAAATAGACAATTTTTATAAGTAGACATACTTCCCAGTACTCCATGATTTGATCCTCCAATCAACATTTCCACTAAAAAATACTAATCTTTTGTTGCGATGTGGAAAGATTACCTGCTCACCTTCTTTTGGTACAAAGCCCCAAAGCAGTTTTTTTTAAATAGACAATTTTTATAAGTAGACATAGTTCCCAGTACTCCATGATTTGATCCTCCAATCAACATTTCCACTAAAAAATACTAATCTTTTGTTGCGATGTGGAAAGATTACCTGCTCACCTGTAAAGGCCCAGGAGGACACTCTTCTTGTCAGCACAGGGTGAAAATATTTCACCTCCATTGTAGATGGAAAAATGATAATTTTGGCAAATTCATTTTTGTGCATGAGTTGTTAAATAAGTTTCATGATTTCCGAGACAACTTTTAATTGATGATCTTTGGAAATTGAATTTCTCAATTGAACTATACCTTTGATTCCATAAGTAAATAACAGATTACAGTAAAATACTGTCAATCAACACAAACCCGACAGGTCCCAACACTCTTCAGTCATGTAAGTTCTAAATCATTTGTCAACTTGATCCCTCATTTAATATGTTAAGAGGTAAAATGAATACTGTGTAAATAAAAAGTAACATACTGTGCTTTGTTTTAGAGGTGAGATTGGCAGCCAGAAGGGCGTAAGAAGTTTGAAATTCTCAATGATTTCCCAAATACTATAAATACTCTGTTATCGGACATACTTGATTATGATGTTTTAGTTAGCCATGAAGTCTTGTTAAGGAAATGATATGTCCATTGTGTTACAAATTATAACCTTTCAAAAGATAACAAGAACAAAAGAACTTACTCCTGATTTCATCTTGCTTCTGTGATGCAGAAAGCCCTGCACTGCCATCACACTGTGTGGTAATAACAACTTTTATTAGTTTCTAGATGCACAGATAACAGAGAGTTTAAAGTATTAGAATTTAAAGAGACATTGTCAATGTACAAAGGAACAAAGTTTGATTTTCATATTTATATTTTAATTCTAAGATTTTATTTTTAATTTGCCATTAAACCCTCTACAGAGAGTAAAGGGTGGATCTGAAAGGGATGAGCTATGGTTAGCACACAAATTGGAAATGCTGGATTCTTTATCTGTGGGTTCAGACTTCCTGTGCCTAAGTTCACTGTGATTCCATTTAGGAGTCTGCTCTTAGCATTCAATTTTTGCATATGATCATGGGATTTTCTAAAGGAAAAATATAATTTTTTTTATTTTCAAACTAGCATTTCTAAATGAAACCATATTTAAAGAATATGTGTATGTGTGTGTACACACACTTATACATATATATCTTAACCATATTGACACTTTAAGTATTGGTGTGGAAGAAAAAAGTTTTTCCATATAAGTCAAAGTTTGGTCCCCCCAAATGACTATGTCCTTTAAATCCTCTTCACACATTTGCATTGTCCTACCTACCTTTGTATTGTCTAGTTCAGCAATGTTGACTTTGCAGACACTCAGTTACTATTCATTTATGATGCATGCTGTTAATGCAACAAATGAAATAAATTCTCTTATTGACGTGGCAAGAATATGTAATTCCAGAATTAACAAAAATGAACTACAAAGATAATCTGAATATAAAAGTAAAATGAAGTACTTATGGTTAATTTCTAAATGCCCAATTTATTTTGGTCACTGAGTAAATGAAGCGATAACACTAACCAATTAAAAGTAAGTGGGAATAATTAAAAACTCAATGAACTTTTTAACTCATACATATAATGTGTGTGTATATACATATTTATATTTGTATATATATATAAATACTTTCCCAGCTAAAGTAACAGAGATGAAAAAGATAAACTACATACTGCCTTTTAATGCATATGAAGTGGTATGTTATTGACACATGAACTTGTAGATAAGCTTTTTCCTACTTCTTCGTCCAAATCAGCCCAAGCTTACATACAGTCCATGTCTATAAGACAACAACACACTTGTGAACTTCAGTTGGAAATACCTGGATATAATTCAGTGCTTCATAGCTTTATCACTCCTTAAAGATCTTATCTTTTAAGCAGCTGAGTGGAATAGTTCTGTGTCATCTCAAAGTTTCTTGCTCTGAACAGATTGAATTGAGGAAAGAAAACCTCTGATGGCCTTTCCGGGATTGTGTAAGGTTACACATTTGCTTTTAAATGTAGCAAATGCCATCGAGTGGAAACAAGTTCTGACACAATGTTTAGACAAGAACCCAGAGATTTTTTTTTCTAATGAGCCATTTTCTAGACTAAATATACACTCTCTTGCATTCTCCACACATCTTTGCCATTAGCCATTGCTGTTTCTATATAAAGCTTGGATGAGATGCCCACATTTTTATGTTTCTAAGGAGAATTCCTTAAAGCCTTTTTAAAAATAGCTCAGACTGTCTTTCAGAATATAGCTCAGAGGATGGTTGAAGCACATGGCGAAAGCACAGCAGGACTGAGGGGGTCATTTTCATGATTTCAGTGATGAATGTTGATCAACTCACGTTCCTTTATCTTGGCCATCCAATGTCACTCTTGAAAACAAAAATGATTGCTTTTGCAAGCTTGTAATTCATAACACTTCTCCCACCTGATGCTCGAGTGTTCCAAAATGACTAGGGATGGACCAATTCACTCTGTGTCCTATGTTCAAGTCTCTCTTCCTGACCTGTATCAGGCCGTGAAATGATCTGAACATTTGGGTGGCCTCTTCTCTCGCTGCTCAGGCCCCTGTGTGGCAGTGCTAGGCCTCTGCAAAGCTTTCTCTGTTCACAAACATCTTGTCCATTTGCCGTCCTAAAAATGGGCACAAGGAAAGACTCTCAGTATGTGCCTGTGATCTACAGTCTCAACAGTGTCATTACTCATCCTAAAGTAAAACTGCAGAATGTGGGTGGAATTGTATCAAAACATAATGAGCCATTTAATTTTGCTAATTGTAGCAATTAGGGTAGCTGGCAAACAGCCTGCTCTCCAGCAGAAAGCCACGTGGAAGACGTGGCAACCAGCCATTTGCCCACAGAAATGATGAGTTCAGAAATGCTCCCCAGAGTGTTTGAGATGTCATGGCACTTCACCAGCCATCTGAAGCTCTTTCTCTAAATTCCACAGGGAAAAAATCAGACTTTTGTTAGAATGCATGCAGCGATCTAACCCAGAAATGTAAAACTTCAGTCAACTTTGTGGCCTATGTTCTGCTATATAAGGGATGGCTTAATGTCCCTGAAGTGTCTAGTGGTTTTGCTAAAATGTTTCATAATATACTGACATAGCCTAAGTCAGAAACAAACTAAATCAAATTTTTGCTTTGGTTATTTTATTCCCCTCTAGGTTTCCTTGCAGTTTTGTTTCCCATATTGACAGTAGTTTGTCGCAACTGAGAGCTGATTGTGTGTCTCTTGCTGTGCTAAAGAGCTTTATCTATGTGATCTCATGTAGTCCTTACACCGCCTATGATTTGAGTGTCATTTACAGATGGCGGAGGAGACATTAAGCAGCTTGCCAAAGGTCCCACAGCTAGCAAACCATGGATCCGAGAATTGAGCACAGCTTTTAAGAACGACAACCCCATCTAGAAGACCAGTGGGTATTCCCACCAAAATCTATTTCAGATTTGGCAAATCTTTGGGAAAAATAGAATCATGATCTAAAATTCAAATTTTTCAAAGAAAGTTTTACATAAAATTCAAACATTCAAAATGAACAGTTAAAAATGAAAAAGTCTATGGTAAGAAGTGGAGGTCTCTATCACCTGTAACTGAATTTTCAACCCTCTAATTCACAGTAAGCAGATAAATGCTGTTGTTCCATTCCAGACAACTGTCCTCCCCTCCATGGCTCTTCTCAGCACTAAATTAAGTGATAAATATAAATTAACCTGATGCTTTTCTTGCATTCTATATGTGTATGCTACTGTCATCCAGTCAGGCAGACTGAAAACTAATTAAATTCCACTATCTTCTTTGGCATTCTGATAGCGAGAGAGAGAGGGAGAGAGAGAGAAAGAGAGAGAGAAGGAGGAGAGGGAGAAAAAGAAAAAAGAGGGAAAGAAGGAGAAGAGGAAGGAAGGAAGGAAGGAAGGAGATCTAAATCTTTGAAGTGACATTATTTTTATATTATAAGGTAATTCTGTTCCATTGCCATAATGTTCCCCTAAATTTTATTTAATATTTTATAGGTCACAAAATTTAATACTTAAGAGGGTTATTAAACCACTAGCTTGAAATAGTATAAATCTAGGAAACTTATCTAGATTGAAGGGTTAGCTGCAAAAAATACAGCAACTGTTTACCAAATATTTGTTTAATTGAATTATAAAATAATTGATGTGTTATTTCCCTTCTCACTTTAGATGTAGCATGTCTGGAAGTCTACAGGATGACAGAGTTGTTACTCATTCAATAATGTTGTTGCATAGTAAGCCGTGTGTGTTGTTTGAATTGATGCTAAACAGGTAGCCAATAATAAACCCAAAACTTTCTCAACCCTGGTGTTTATTTTTAAAAAATCTTCAGTGATCAGTTTGAATGTAATGTATACAAGCAATCATCTATCTTCCCACTTTGATTTAAGCAGATCTTTATGAACATATGTTAAATTAGAAGTCACTAACTTTCATAGAAAATAGCATCTAAAAGAAATCTGTTACTTCATCACCTTTATTCTATAGATAAGACAACTGAGATCCAAAGAGATTAGGTAATTTTTATAATCAGGATTACACATAACACTTTTATTGATTCCCTCAGTCATTTCATTCTTTCCACAAGTATGACCTCTATAACTAGTACCACTAGGCAATACACCGTCCAGTGCAAAAGGAATCTTGCATTTGAGCAGCTCACAATTTGTTTATCAGAAGCATAATCAGAGTTCTCTGACTTTGACTCTAACTCCTCTACTCTACCACCCTGCTGCCTCTCTTCTCAATACTATATGTAATTCTATATCAAAGAAATAGAGAAACATAAGATTTTTGAAGACTGTATTGTGTATGCCTCACAATAAGCCATAAGCAAACATAAAGTAATGATGTAAATACAAAGATAAATCAACATTACATGACTGCCTATAAAGAGAAAAGCAATTTTATGATTTGTTTTTATGGCTCTCCTACACAGGATATTTTTGAGTCAAAGTCATAAAGCAACAAAATAACTGACATACTCTCTTGGTACATAGAATTTGACTCAAAACAATCATCTCTGGACAAACTTTGGAGATATTCAGGAAAAAGCATGAATTAGGGAGAATTTTTTCAGAAAAAGTCATTCGATTAGGGAGCCTCCAAAGTGAAGTTTTCCAATAGGTTACTTCTCTGATTTGCAGGAAAGCATCTTTCATTAGCACATACTGTATTTCTCCAGCATACCAGTTATTTCACAATAACAAATTTCCAGATGCAAACTTCAGCTGTTGCAACCTGGGCGGTTGTTCTAAAGACATAACTCCAGTGCCCAGAAGAGCAGCACTGTGCCACAGTAATTTCAGGAGTCAGGATTCAGGACAGACAGAGCCACCTCTTATGGCTACTCCTGCAGGCATTACACCCAATTCGAGTCACTCCTGCAATATGGCCCAGAGTGGTGGGCTTCCCATCGCTATTTTAACATTGTAAGCATACTATTATAATAGATGTAAGCATACTATTAAAGATCACTATTAACTTGTGTAACTAATTTTCCTTAAGTAAAATAATTCTGGTAAGGGAATGTATAAACTTATTGGTCCTTTATGAAGTAAAAGAAAAGAGGGAAGAAGCATATTAATTTTTACAAGCACAGAATAATTCAAAAAATTCCTTGGTGTCTCATTAAGCATTCATAAGAGTTGACCTGATGTTGCTAGGTTTGTATGATGATTTCTAGGTTCATGCCACCATTGCCACATTCATTACCATGATTATTGCTGTTTTACAGCCATTTCACCCGACAAGAAGAAGCATGTAGTTACTGATATGATGTTTACAGAGCGAAGATCATGTTTAACAAATCAACATCAAAACTAATTAATCAAAATAATTAGCAAATACTGCCAGCACCTACCAAAACAAAATTTTCTCTTGTGCTGTTGAAGCCTGTCACCTACTCTGTTATTAGAATTTCAGAAAATGTAAGGTTTCCTGTTTTTATTATACTTCCATCTACCAAATTAAGCAGGTTGGTCCTCTCTTCTCTCTACTGCTCAATTTGCATTAAAATGGAATTAATCAAATTCTTGTTTCATGTCAGTGCTACAAATATTAACAAATGGAGATGTGTTCAAGCTAATTTAATTTAACTGTTCTAGTGGCATTCTGATATGGAGTTGTATCAAATCAACACTTTTAATTATTTCAAATTAATTCATTTATCAGTAAGTTCTAAAACACCCTCAGTGTGTAGAAAACATATTTCGGGTTTCTATCATTGTAAGAAATTCCTATTTTGATTGCAAATCATTAGCACGTGTCTTAACCAACACCAGCACTGCATTTCAATTCATTGTGATTTTGGAAAATGAGCATTTGTGTTTCATCGTGTTGGGGACCACTACTTTCACTTAACAATTCACCTTTGACCTGTGGTTTTCTATTGAGCCCCCTGTGATTTCTTCTTCTATTCAAATTGGGAGCAGTAGCACAGCATCGTGTAACCCAAGGAGACCTGCCAGGTAGAGACGGAATTGTCATTTTATATCCTCCTTTCTAAGAACTAACATATTCAACTTCCTTTATTAACCTTTTTAATGTACTGTACATAAAAAGGAAATGGATTTCCGAAGTATGTTGTGCAAGCCTGGGGTGAAACATTTTCCTTGGTCTGAATCAGAGGCTCAGTGCTCTGTGAGAAGAAATTTAAAAGAAGGGGGAAGCCAGTCGTGCTCAGAAACACGGTCTCGACTGTCCCAAAGCTGAGTATTGCTGATGTTATCGATTCCCTTCTTTTCTTTACAGAAACATCTTGGAACTTGCCAAGCTTTACTAGAGGTGATTTGCAGTTAATTAATTCAACAGACATTTTAAATCTTGCCATTTCTTGACTTGTAATATTGTAAACGAGCAAGGGAACTAATCAGGGAGTGGAAAAGGAGACTTCGCCGCCCAGGCCTACAGACAAAGCCCTCTGTGCAGCACAGCGCTGACAAATTCGGGCTGCCTGGTTCCTCATCGTTCATGCTATGAATCTTCATCTGCCTCATTTGTTTTTGCCAGTAAGCACTGCTTTGAAAAAAAAGAGAAAAAGTCAGTGGATTCCTGGGGGCTTGCGGAGCTCAGAGAAATTGGTCCTGGGTCATGAGGCTTGCTGTAAATGTGTTCACAACCACGTGTTTGGAAATGAAAAAATGTCACTGTCATCTGTGTAATAATTGATCTGAGTACACTTTCTGCCTTTACTTTATTTCTTGAGACTACACTGTCAGCATTGTAATAACTAATTTATAAAAACTGAGTTTATAATTTAACTTCAGAGGTAAAATCTGCATGGATGTAGCTATTGAATAATTTGACTAGGTGGTGACATTACCTTCCCAGGTGGTGACATTACCAGCTCCAAACTGAGATCCATTTATATGTGGAATCAGCTATCCTACTGCTTCTCAGACTCTGCAAAACCTTGGTTCCAAGCTCAAAGAGCACCAGTCTGATATTCTTAATGCCTAAATTTTCACTTAGAAGTAAACAGGCAATCCCATAAGCAAAAAACACAGTTCTTTCTCACTTGCTTCTCTTTTTTCAAAGAAAGGTTTGAGCTGCAAGGTAAAAATGAAGTAACTAGAAATTATGAGATCATATTTTCAGAGCATACAAGAGAACCAGGCATCCATATGTTCTTATAAAGTTTGCTTCCTAAACTTTTGGTGTCATAATTTTAGGAGTTAGCCCTAGATATATGTGTAGAAGTCATCAGACTACTTATCCAATAAGCAGTCTAGAAGAAAAAAGAGAAGATGAGGAAGAAGAGATCACACTGTGTGTGTGTGTGTGTGCGTAGAAGTCATCAGACTACTTATCCAATAAGCAGTCTAGAAGAAAAAAGAGAAGATGAGGAAGAGATCACACTGTGTGTGTGTGTGTGTGTGTGCGCGTGTGTGTGTGTGTTTACAAAGATGGTTCTCCTTCCTGAGTGATCATCTCAGTGGTTACCACCAAGATGTAGCAAGCTCTACTGAACAATATTCCCAGATACCACCGCTGGTATCATGGCAAGTCATTTTTAGGACTAACTCCTGGCACAAGCACCAAAATTGAGTGGTAGAAAAGTGGCCTCCCATAGTGTGACATATGTTCAATTGCCAGGCAATGAAAACTAAGAGGCTGAAGAAAACGTTCATTTCCTGAACTCCGGAGCTAACACAGGCACAAAGACACTCTGTAACATACAATGACTGGAGACACAGCAGCAATAAGCAGTCCTCTTAAATGAGGCTCACGGATAAGAGTTATCACAGCGGTGTTGGGTGTTGGGACAGAGGTTTTTTATTAATATAGAGGCCCCAAGCATGGTGATTGAAAAGGAAACCTGTCAGCGATTCGTCAGGAATATTGGCCTTTTTACAGAGCAGAAGTTCACGGTAGTTGCTGCCATTCCATAACCATGACAACAGACATGTCCCCTTGTGAAGGCAGAGGCCTTACTAAAGTGGGAAGATGGAGAAGTTGCTGGTGGCTTCATGTCTGAGACTGACTCTCCTTAAGGGAACTCTCCCCCGTCGCAGTTTTTGGTCCCTGGCCCCTTCCTGCCCTGCACACCGAGAGCTTCTGACGGATCATGAGATATTTTAAGGTACTGTAAACCACATCTTGCTTGTAGAACTATCCCTCCTTCTAACAGCAGTGAGATTCAGGGTGACCATGGCCTTACTCATCGTCCATTGTAAATACGTCATGACATCACAAGAGCCTCCGGGTTCAGACTCCCTACACCAGGTTTACAAGGATGAGAATCTTCTAAGCATATCTTGGATCTTGGTTCCAATACAATAGCCTGTGTATCTATTCCCAAATTGGAAAAATAATTCTTGTGAGAATGATTTTCAGAATAATGGAAGCGAAAAAAATTGAACAGTTAAGCAATTTTTCAACGTAGACAAAACCACTGGACTGTTGATAGCCCTAAAGCTCTGATTTTTCCTCATGACTAAGTTTCTTTTCATATGGGGGCTTTTGACATCTGAATTTTCCAGATGATTGCTGAACCATATTCACTAAACCAAAGTAGACACTACAGCATTACTAAAAAATAAAGACTGTCCACATGAATGCAAATATCCCAATGAAAAGTGAAGAAGTAGGTCACTCAAGTGGTAAATTTAGTCTTCATGATATCGAACATCTGGATATTTGGGAAATTCCAGATGTTTGAAGCATACGGTTTCCTGTCTGGTTGTCTGGTGTTGTCTAGATAGCTGAGCTGGGGCCGAGCCCGTGGCACACTCGGGAGAGTGCGGCGCTGGGAGGCGCAGCAGCGCTCCCACCGCGGGTTCGGATCCTATATAGGGATGACCGGTGCGCTCAGCGCGGTGTGGCCGGTCTCAAAAAGGACAAAAAAAAAAAAAAAAAAA